GCCCCTGCCCGGCTAGTTCCACTCTGCCAGTCTGAGCAGGCACCCCCAAAGCCTGGCTCTCTCCCCACATCTGTAACCTGGTTCTTTCTCGCAGCACCGCCCCCCATCTGTCCCCTTCCCTCTTCCGGCCCCTTGGCCCCATCTCACCTGACATTCCATCTTTGGCTGCTTCCTTCTTCACACTCTCTCTGCCTTTCCTTTGTAGCTTCTTGAGCTCTTGACCCCGGAAATAGGCCACCACCCCAGAGATAAGCAGGCTCACTGAAGGGGGTCAGAGGGAGACACTGGGTGGGGGGGGGTGGCCTCACCTACAGCTTCACTGAGGCTTTGGCTGCCGCCCCTCCCTTCCCAAGGCCCCTTGAGTCTGGCTTCAAATGTACCTAGGAGCTAGCCTTACAGGCCAGCAGGTAATGAGGGGCAGGGACAGTCTGTGAGGAGGAGGGGAGCCAGAAGAGAAATGGGTGAAGGGGTAAAGGGCTCACCTAGGGGAAGACAGCACAGAGCCACGATGGTGATGCCAAAACCAGGACCACTGCCCTCAAAGAAATGAGTCACAGTCAGGGGCACACAGGGGGGCAAGTCTTCACTTCTGAGCTGCCGGGGCTGAGGGCAGGGTGCACCTGAGGGAAAGACACAGAAGATCTCAGGGCCTGAGGATCCCACTCCTTGGCCAGGCAGCCTTCCCTTCTGTCCTATAAAGGACAGAAGGTACCCACTCCCTCCCAAACCCTCCTCCCTGGAACTTGTTCCCATCAAAAATTCCTCTTCCACATCCCATCTCTCAGCATCTATCCCAGCTTGACCACAAGGTTCAGCCTGCAAACCAGTCTAGTCTCTACTGGGGGAGGTGGCCTTACTGCAGGCCTCCCAGACCAACACAGAAGGAGCTGCCTGGTGCCTAGCTCCCTGGACAGCACCAAATGATCCCCACACAACCTCTCTCTTCTCTGCCACCATTGCTTGTGTTCTCCCAGGCCACCCACCTTGTTGCCAAATAAAGACATTGGGCTGCAGGGCACCATGGTTCACGCTGGTGACAGCCACCAGCACGTCCCGAAGAGTGGTGTTTCTGATTTCTGCAATTTCCTCCGTGGAGAATAGCCTAAGTTAGAGAAAGCCAGGAATTGTTGGGATGGGAAGGGGACACAGGTCTCCAGCAAACTCAGGCCCAGGGACCCAGATGAGAAAAGAGACCGAGAGGGGTTGGGGAGGGGTGCTGGGACATCCGGGTGCTGTTTACAGGCAGAGGGTCCGGGGCCCAGGCCGAGGTAGAGTCTGAGGTGGGAACCCAGGCAGGCCTCACCCATTCCTGCTGTTCTCAAACCAGTAGCGGTCGCCATCCCGCAGTCGCACAAACTGATGGAGGACGATGGTGCTAAGGAGGGGTCCACCATCCCGCAGTCGCACAAACTGATCGAGGACGATGGTGCTGAAGAGGGGTCCAGGGTCCCCATAGCTCTCCAGGAGGCCCCCGGGGAGTAGCTCCAGCCGGGACACGTCCTGGTTGTACAGGGCAGCTGTGGCCTCCAGCACCTGGGGCCACACAGGAAGTGAGGAGCGTGTGAGCGTGGATACGGTTTTGTGTTGGGAGGGCAGCCACTACTGCCCCATCCCTCAAACACAGGACCCCATCAACTGCCTGGCTTGCTGCTCAGGCCTGAGGAAGTGTCCTCTATCTAGGCAGCACTCCTCAGGTGGTGACAAGTCTGGTGGGAGGACCAGTGTGTCACTACCCAGACTGCCTATCCCCAGTGATCAGCAGCTTCAGGGTCACCCAACTCATGGGGCGAGATCCTGCAGGAATAGGACAATGGCACCCAACCCAGGGGCCACTCTGCAGTAATGGTACAATGCAGTGGTGAGGATACTCTGGAATCAGATGGTTGAATTTAAATCCTGCCTCCAAGACTGACTTACCAGTTTTGTCATCAGTAAAATGGCGATAATTATGGTATCTACTCTGTAACGTTCTTGACATAGATTAAATGGTTACATGTGTAAAGGACTTAGTATCACCACAAGAAAGCTTTAGCTGCCATTATTATCATCACTATTCCTGACCTGACGGTCCACTTTGGGGTTGAGGTCACTCCAGTTCTCTGGGGTCTCCAGCCCCAAGGCCTGTCGAGCTTGGCTGTAGCTGGGCAGCCCCATATCTCGGCCACGTTGGATGCTGCTGGCCACATAGTCAGTGCGGGAGAACTTGCCAGGGCCAGGCCAGTAATCTGAGGAGGAGAGAGGACCAGGCTCTAGGCTCAGTCCCTCTAACCCTTCTTCGCCCAGCAGCCTTGTACTGGGCTGTTGGCATTACCCACACTCAGCACTCCTCGACATGTGACCTGCCTTGGTGCAGGGTCACTGTCATCATGTGTGACCAGGGGCAATTTTTCTGGCAAAACTCTTCCCCTGACACTCAGGACTGTTCTAGTCACAAAGCAGTAAATTCCCCGTCCCACCTCCTTAACCTCAGCATAGGACTGGACAAAAACCTTTAGCGACCTAAGCACCAGAGACTGTGGTGCCACCCTTCCCCCACATACTCAGATGTCGGTAATTTAGAATAAAGCTTGTTTTCTTGTAATGGCTGTTTGCTGTGTGTTTATCTATGTTCCTGCTTTGTAGGTACCCTAGGTCTGCCTGATGCTTAACCCAGAAGGGTCCCCAGGCTCCCGGACCTCTGGGCCCTCATCCCCTCTGCCTCCAGTGCTTACCCCTCAGATCTTCAACCACTATCCTGTCCTCCAGCTCTGAAATCTGGGAGGCCATTCCCAGCAGCAGATGATTCACTGCCTCGGCACTGTTCAGATTGGGGTTCTGGAAAAAAACAACACGCTCAAGGTAGGTTCTCAGGCCCCTCCCTAAAGCCAGGTCCTTCTCAGAACCACTGCAGCACCTCAGGATAAAGGGCCCTTGGCCAGTCCTAGACTCTCTTGAGCTGTTGTCCCCAGATAATTTTCTGATCACTCTACCCTTCAACTCCAACCACCCTGGAGCGGCAACACCTAAGAACTGGAATTCTTGCTTTTCCCAGCCTGTGTGATGAGACTGACCGTGACCCACCTCCCCTTGCCCCTGACCCCAGGCTGACCTCCCGAATCCAGTAGCTGTTGCAGACTCTGAGAGCTGGGGAGCTGCCAAAACCCTCATTCAGGACCATCTGGAAATGACAGCTGGTGTTTCTGAAATGGGGAATCAAGGATGCAGTAAGAGAATTCAGAGAAGTTGAGGTGGGGTTGCGTGGGGTGAGGGCTTCAGAGGGGGTCTGGCCAGTACTAAGGGGTGTCCTCGGAACTTCCTGGAACATAACAGAGATTTGGCAACGAGTGCGGATTGAAGGTAGAGGTTGCTCTTCGTCCACACAGGGTAGGAAGGGAAGGAGGGAAGAGAGTGACCCAGCTGCTGGACAAATCCTGCTCTCAACAACTGAAGTTCAGCCATTAGGAGGAAATGGGGAGATTTTCCTGTTAAGACTGAACTTCCTACCCCAGGGTGCTGTTTCAGGGCACCAAATTCTGCTTCTTTTCCCCCATGAAACTGTAGGGGTGTAAAGAAGGCCCCAGGCCCACAAGACCACTTATTCTTCACCTCTGCCAGTGTGCTGCTCGGCCAGCCCCTCCCTCACCTCATGTAGACGCCAGGGGGCACCATGGTGGAGAAGAACTGCTCAGAGGCCGCCAGGAACTCCGGGGAGATGCTGGGGTCCAGGAAAGGGCGGTACTCTGCCCACAGGGGTAAGAAGACAAATAGGCTCTTTACCCTCACACAACTCTCGTCACATGAACCCACCTGTCTTCTTTGTCCTATGGATCCTGACCCCCTCCCCCTCCCCAAACGCCCCCTCAGCCCAGGTGTTCCCCAAACTCCCTCACCTGTGTAATTCGGCGGTGCTTGCTGCAGGAAGCTGGGCAGCCACTCATACATCGCGATGTTCTGAGGGTCAAGAGAGGGGGAAATGGGAGGCCAGCGCTGCAGCAGCCAGGCCAGGAAGGATCTGAGCTCAAGGAAGGCTTAGGTGTGAGACGAGGACCAGGCAGGGGCAGTCACGGGAGACACACTCAAACAGGAGAGGGGCGGAGGTTCCCGTTGCCCACGAGGAACGAGGGCAGGGGGGGAGGGGCAGCTAAATAACAATCACGAGAAAACCTCTGGTAGAACTAGCGCTTTGCCTCCTTATCACTCTCAGGGGCTTTCCCTAGACGGTAGCTGTCTGGGGAGGCGTGTTTCTGGGTGGGCTTGTCCAAGGCTGGAGGGCTCTGCGGGGCAGCGGAGTCTCCCGGGGACAAGGACGTGGGGGCAGGGCCGCGCGACCGACCTGGTAGGTGGCGATGACCCTCTTGCGCGCGTGCTGGAACAGCTCCTCGTCCCCCCAGAGCGGGTGCTGGCGGGCCAGCCTCTGCGCCCACAGGTTGTGGTAGCGGAACCAGAGCAGGCCCAGCGCCTGCAGGAAGGGCTCGCGGTTCCCTCGCTCCGCCCCGAAAGCTGCCCGCGCGGTGGGGACACAGGGGAGGAGTTGAGCGCGGGTGGGCCCGAGGGGGGCGCACCTCGCCGGCCGCCCGCCCGCGCCCCCGCCGCCTCACCGTACAGCCCCCGGGGCCCGCGCCGTCCCGTGGCGGGGTCGGGCGCAGTCCACACGCGCAGCGGGTCCTGCGCGTTCCGGGGGAAGGCGGGGTCGGGCCCCGACGCCAGCTGCCCACCGTTGAAGCTGCGCAGCTCGTCGCTCCAGGAGTGCGAAGAGCCATAGATGGCGCTGCCGTCCAGCCAGCCCGTCGCCTCGTTGGTCTGCGGGGACAGCGGGAGGCTGAGCCGGGGTTCGGGTGGCAGAGGCGGCTCAGGGCGGGCGACGGCCCGGCGGCCGTTGCGGGTGGTGGGAGCCTCTCCACAGCTGCCTCAGGTCCCGCCCCACCA